ACCGGACTGCAGTAGAAAAGATATTCAACCGAGCTCTCCGAGAGCTCCCCTACCTTGGACTATGGTCCATGTACTTGGATCATATCCGTCGCCACAACAATATAGCTATGGATCCGTCGGGCTTAGCGCGCCAGACCATAAATTCAGCATATGATATAGCATTGCAGCACATTGGCCTTGACAAAGAGTCTGGCAAGATCTGGCAAGACTATGTGCAGTTCCTCAAGTCTGGCCCCGGCATCGTCGGCGGCAGCACTTGGCAGGATCAGCAGAAAATGGACTCGCTTCGTAGTGTCTATCAACGCGCAATTTGCATACCAACGCAGTTCACTAACCTGCTATGGAAAGAGTATGATGGATTTGAGATGAGTTTGAATAAGATCACAGTAAGATTGTTACCACAAGCCTGCGCCAGACCTCGCTGACCTAGATAAACAGGGACGCAAATTTGTTCAAGACCAGTCACCTGCCTACATGACTGCGAGAAGTTCGTACACGGAGCTTCAGAACATTACCCGAAACCTCCGTCGTACCACCCTACCGGTTCTACCGCCTGCGCTTGGCTTCGACGGCGACGTTGAATATCTGGAGCAATTGGACATTTGGAAGCGATGGATCCAATGGGAAAAGAATGACCCCCTTGTTCTGAAGCTTGATGAAGTAGTTTCATACCGAGCTCGGATTGTCTTTCTCTACAAGCAAGCTTTGATGGCTATGAGGTTTTGGCCTGAGCTGTGGGCCGAAGCGAGCGACTTCTGCTTTGCAAATGATCTCGAGTCCGAAGGGGATGCATTTCTGGCGCAAGGCATTGCCGCGAATCCCGAGAGCTGTCTGCTTGCATTTAAGCGTGCTGATCGAAAGGAGCTCAACAGCACCAAGGAAGAGGGTGATGAGGCCGCCATACGTCGTGGTGCAGCTGTGCGTGAGCCTTATGATAAGGTTTTGGACGCCCTTTACGACCTTTTCTCCAAATCCAAGGCACGGGAGGATCAGGACGTTGCCCGCATTGAAGCCAACTTTACTGCCAGTGATGATATCCAGTTCAATGGTGTTAAAGCCGAGGAAGACAACGAGGATAACGAAGGGCAGGATGGTAGGAGCAAAGAAAAGGAGAAGGCTGCGCAAATTGAGTCTGTCAGAAACTTGCACGGCGTCCAGCAAAAGTTGTTGTCGAAGACTCTATCACACGCCTGGATAGCCTTGACTCGAGCAATGCGACGTATTCAGGGCAAGGGGAAAGTCAACCATGCCTTGGCTGGTTCAAGAGGGATTTTTGCGGACGCTCGCAAGCGTGGTCGGATAACTAGCGATGTCTATGTTGCCAGTGCTCTGATGGAGTTTCATTGCTATGAGGTTGAAACTGGAAAGAAGATCTTCGAGCGTGGTTTGAGACTGTTCTCAGAGGACGAGGATTTTGCTTTACAGTACATTAAGCACCTCGTTGCCAACAACGATCATACTAGTAAGTCTATGCTTTTGGCCCCTCTCTCTACTCGCGCTAATTCTGCTTCAGACGCTAGAGTTGTTTTTGAGACTGCGGTTACTAAGCTTGCGCTGAAACCTGAGACGGTCTCAAAAGCAAAGCCACTCTACGCTTTCTTTCATGATTTCGAGTCTCGTTATGGCGAATTGACTCAGATCGTGAAGCTGGAAAAGCGAATGAGCGATCTCTTTCCGGAAGATCCTGCCCTCACGCTTTTCTCGCGTCGTTTTGCACAACAAGGCTTTGATCCTACGGTTATCCGCCCTATTATATCTCCCGCTACTCAAGCCAAATCTAAAACGATTCCAAGCATTAGAACTGAAGCAGAAGGTGTACCGGACTCACCGCAACAACGCATAAATGAAATCATCAACTCTCCAAAGCGTGCCCTTCCTACCGACGATGACGACGATTCTCCGCGACCACGAAAGGTTGCTCGTCCTGAATCTCCATTGAAAGGTGCAGCCGGTCGGCGACTTGATCAACAGAAGCGCAACCGACAGCCTGAGATGCCTCAATTCAACCAACCAGTGCCGCATCCTCCTCCTCCGCCTCCTCTTCCTCGCGACGTCATGTTCCTTCTCAGCATCATCCCTAAAGCCGAGACATACCATGCGACCAAATTCAGTGCCGAGCAACTTGTGAAGCTCCTACGCGAGACCAACATCCCTACCTCAATGGCACAAGCTCCACCGCCGCCTGGTGCACGAGCACCACCTCCAAATCAGTCAATGCCACCGTATCAGCATATGCCGCCACCGATTCCCCAACCCCAAGGACCTTACGGGCATGGTCAGTACAATGGCCAGTACAATAGTGAGTACCCCCATTTTCATGCTTCCTCTGCACATGCACAACCCCGTTCTGGTACTTCCCAAGATTCTTACTTGCAAGCTCCATGCCCCCAAAACCCCAATCATGAATCCCAACTTGTCTACTTACCAAGCTCGACTTACTCCACTGCACCAAGCATAGCTGTCAATGGTCTCATTGACTGATCTTCCTCGTGGTCCCATCGTTCTCCTGGTGCATCGCTTTGGTTGAGCATGGACCTGCAGAGACTCCGTCGCACGCCATAGCATACGCAGATCTTGAGTGAAACGAAGATTAATTTTTAATCACAGGCTCTTACCCCTACAATCGATGAATGGAGCTTTGCACTATTCACCGCACTTGCTCCACTCCCAGTAGTCTTCCAAAGAAGCTCAGCTTCGACGTCTCCATCTCCTCCCCGGGCGACTCTGGCATTCAGCGTGGCTCTATCTAATCGAAGCATTTGATCCGCTTCACTAGTGGCGTGCTTTATATCAAGGTGTGCATTTTGCATGGAGGAGATCATTGCATACTGGTCTCGATGATAAACATTTTGTGAAAGGGCGCTCTGCATGGTTGAGCAGAAATGGACATGTATAATACAAGGTTCTGCTAAGGAAAATCAAGCAGTTTAAGCTCTCCAAACGCCCATCCCGTTCTCAGGCATTGCTCACGAAGCTCCAAGAAGTCTACTCCCCAAATTGCGTACTTGCAGCACCCCAGATCAACCCATCATCAAAATTCCCTTCCAAGCTCTTTCACGAAGCGTGCCTTCCTAGCTCAATATCCCTGTACCCACAACTTCACCCTTATGCTAGAGCACTTTCAGACCTGCTAAGAGTCAATGACAGGTCAGGTGTAGGCTGTAGGCTCCTACGCGAATGTTCAGCGTAGTACCAATCCTGCTTCGCACGCTGCAGGCAAAGTCAATCCGTCGCTTATCGCGTTTGCGGCGGTAGATAAGTTGGCATCCAATGGCTGCAGGAACTCTCCTTGCTTGAACATGATTGCCAAACGTCAACTGGTCCCAAAGTTTCTACCGTAGAAGTCACAAAGTAATTTGGCTATCAGTAGAAGCATATAACGCTAGTGACTTAGCGTTGCGCTAAGGTCTGTTGTTGCTTCCTCGTTCGGACCTTTCTTAGTCTTCTTCCACAACTTCCTTCTCCTTCTTTAATCATACACATTCATACGCTCCTATTTGTTCAATCAATCAATCAGTCAATCAATGAGCGTATGCACTGCAAGCTCAAACAGCCAATCATCGTTCTCGCACGCGTGGACTACCTCATTTTGATGTTTGACACCTCATTCATTCCTTCCTCGCAAACAATCGCCATCCGCACTTAGCCCAATCGACCTATTTCACATCGCACACTCACACCCACACGCAACACTCGCAACTCGCTCAGCTCACCATAATCAGTTTCATCACATTACGTGAAGCAAGTGACTGTAAGTTTCATGTTCATAACTTTCATCCTCCCAAGCATCCAGACCTCATCTCATTTGCCTTTGACTGCTTGTCAACTCCCATCATACTTCTACTCCTCTCTCAAGCTCGCCCCTTCTTTGCTCGTACACCACACTCACTGCTTCGACATCCTCATTATAGCAGCATAGATTCTGCAAAGCTCACAAGCTTGCTCTTTTACCTTTTCTCCTGCTTGGGCTTGTCATCTTCGTACTCACACTCATCAAGCTCATCGCACTCATTCACTTTCTTTCTCTTCCATCAACACACTCATCTCAACTCTTCAACACCATACACAACAAGTCATCACCTCATCGCTTTGCCTTAGCTAATCAGTATCGCACCATAGATCACCTATCATGCCAGGTGCTCACACCAAGCGTAGCGCCGCTGCCCGCGGGGCACCTCGTCGTAATCAAGGTGGCTCGGCGGCAGGCCCTGCTGAAGCTCAGCCCGAGCCATACGATGGCCCAGGATCCAACGCTGGGGAAGCCCGTGGCCGTTCTGGCTCAGTAGCCGGAACCCGTAGTTCTTCCCGTCCAGGTAGCCAAGTTCGTGGAGCTAGCCAAACTCGTCAGACAGTAGACCCTGCGGGCGACCCCGCGCCTCAAGTGCTCCTTAGGAACGTCGACTTTGGAGGAGCGGCATATAATATGTTTAGTCAAGTAAGCCCAAGATTTGCCTGCTTGTCACAGTTTCCATGTCACTCTGCGCTCCCGATTCACATTTCCTTGTGTCTTTGTGTGTTGAGATTCTTAAGCTGCCCTGCTTGCTGTCAGAGGACTTCTGGCGAGAATGAATGCTTTGCTGGCTTCATTCCACCGCGCGAAGGAAGGTTCTCTGTCACTTGCTCAGCTTCACACCTCCAAAGCCAACCTCTTTCTTATTCATGTTGTTTCCATTCATTCAACACGCCATTCATCCTATTCATTTCCTTTCTCCATTCACGTGGCAAAGAAGCTTCACATCGAGGCACCCTCCACTATTTAAACCCCATCCAGCACCAAACCTCCATCCTTCCTACAACATCCTCCCACAACAGCATTCTTCTACACATCCAACATCCCCATCCAACATCATCATCAATCATCTCCATCATACACTCTACACTTCAGCAAGCATTACAGCACACATCTACTACTGCATACCAGCACTTTGCAAAGTCTGTCAGCATCTTCACTCTCTCCAACATCACACTCGACTGTCTCTGAAAGTCTCCCTACTCTCATCATGTCGTCCTCAGCCCCTCAAGACAAATCTTCTAATACTCCTGACATTGGTGTTGGCTTGCCTACAAAGCCTATGATCAATCTTATCATTGATCCTATCCCTAACCCTTTCCGTGATCAGATGCCGACGACTATGATGAGCCGTAAGGCATTCAGCAAAGCCGGTAAGCCTGCAGTGATTCAGGTCAACTCCCATATCGTCGAGCAGTGGCCGACTATCAATATCTACCAATATGATGTAAGTCTTCTCAACCTCTTGGCTGGCATGGACTGATAGGGCACTCATAGATCGTCATCGGAAACGGCGCAGAGAAGCGTGGTCTCATTCAGGCCGTATGGGCTTCCAAGAAGGTCAAGAGCGAGATATCGCAGTACGGCCCCGGTTTCATCTTCGATGTCAGTCATCTTGGATGGTAAGTCATGGCAACCTTCCGACATGCTCTCTGCTAATAGCTACAGGGCCACTTCCCAGAAGCCTGACCGTTCATTCGTTGTCGATCTCGATGTCGAGAAGGGTCAAACACCTCGTGCGCCTCGTGACGGTCAAGCTGCTCGAGAGAATAAGCATAGAGTCGCGATCAAGTTTGCCAAGAAGGTCCAGTTGGCAACGGTTCGAGCGTACCTGGAAGGCACAGTGGACTTCGACAATGGGATCTTGGAAGGAATCAGTAAGGCTTACTTGTTGCCTTTCATAGAACATTGTTAACATTGTTCAGACTTCCTTGACCACTTGCTGCGCGAAACACCCTCAAAGTCGATGATCAATCTACGGCGATCGTACTTTGCACGTCATCCTGTCTCTGAGGAGCGCACTCTACTCACTGGAGGCGTTGAGGCTATGAAGGGTGTTTATCAATCCATTCGTTTAGCCGAGGTACTACATCTGTCCTTCATACTCAGTTCGTGCTGACTTTTCATCTCCAGGGCAAGCGCTTGGTCGTCAATGTCGACGTGTCAAATTCGTGCTTTTGGCACCCTTTGCCGTTCAATATGCTTGCATTCCAACTGTCTGGCGAGAAAGGTCCGGAACGCTTTGAATCTACGTCTCATCGACAACCTGATGGGAGAGACACTATGTATATGCCTTTGTTCAAGCGTCTCTGTCGGAACAAATTCTTCGTCAAGCACCGTGGTAGTGATGGTAAGCTCATGCTCCCAGCTTGACAAATAGAGCGATACTAATTCAACCTAGAGACAAAGATCTGGACCGTCAAGCAGATCTCTAGACTCAATGCTAAAGAGCACAAATTCGACGTGACTGAGAAAGCCACTGGCAAGGTCACCAATATGAGCGTCTACGAGTACTTCCAGAAGAAGTATAATATCCCACTCAGACAGCCATGGTTGCCCTTGGTCCAGACCCAGAAGCCCAATGTGCTCTTTCCCATGGAGGTCTGTGTCATGTGCGATGGACAGCGCTACCCTTTCAAGTTAAATTCCGATCAGGTAACGATGGCTTACTCGTATACCCATCCAAGAACACTCGGCTAATGTTCCAACCAGACGGCCAATATGATCAAATTTGCAGTATCGCGACCTCCACAGCGTCGTCAGGCAATCGACCAAGGGCTGAAGAAGCTCGACTGGGCCAAAGACCCCATGCTCCTAGGTTACGGGATGAAAATCAATCCAACGATGCTCAAGACTAATGCTCGTATCCTGGAGCCGCCTGAGCCATTGTTCGCAAAGGGCGCAACGGCCAAGCCCAATTTCACCGGTCGTTGGGACTTGAGAGGTAAAGTATTCCTTCAGCCAAACGACCGACCTCTGAAGTCGTGGGGCATTGTTGTTCTTATGCCTCAAGATCGTCGACCACCTGTGACTGTGGACCAGATTGAGGCATTCAAGAAGAATTTCTTGACTCTTTATCGTGGCCATGGCGGACAGGTCGAGAATATGAATCCTCCAATAATTGGCGGAGTCCCGGACGACGCCAAAGCCATTGAGACATGCTTCATGCGAGCTGGCAGCGCAGCCAACCTGCGACCTCAAATGCTGATGGTGATCTTGTCAAACAAGAGTGCGGAGGTGTATAATCGGGTCAAGAAGAGCTGCGATTGTCGCTTTGGTATCATGTCTCAATGCGTTCAGGCCAGCAACGTTGTCAAGAATCAGCCGCAGTACTGCTCGAATGTCCTGATGAAATTCAATTGCAAGCTTGGCGGAACCACTTCTATGATCAAAGCCGTAAGACATCAGCCAGTCTCATCTTTTTTCAAAGCGTGCAAATACTGACAGCTAGCAGAAAAAGCAATACTTCGAAGAGTCTACGATGATCATTGGTGCCGATGTCTCTCATGCTGCACCTGGTATGGTAGACATGGCCTCTATGGCTGCTATGACTGTCTCCTTGGATAGAACATGCTCTCGTTACGGAGCTGCCGTCCAGTCAAACGGACATCGTGTTGAGATGATCACGAGCTCCAATATCCATGAGATGCTCAAGCCCCTTGTTGCATGGTGGATGGCGAACGTTGGGAATGGCCACCCTCCCAAGCACCTTTACTATTTCCGCGACGGAGTTTCCGAAGGTCAATACACCGCTTTGCTTAAGCAGGAAGTGGCAGATATCAAGCAGCTCATGGATGAAATGGGCCAGCGTGACCCCGGCAATAAGGTACGACCAATGCGCGATTCAATTTTGTAGGAGTAGCTAACATGTATGATAGCCAAAGATGACCGTTGTTGTCGCTGAGAAGCGTCACCACATTCGTTTCTTCCCTCCACAGGGAATGGCTGGCGACAAGAATGGAAACCCTGTGCCTGGTACCTTGGTCGAACGCGATGTCACTCATCCTTGGGAGAATGATATTTATCTCTGCTCACACGTGGCTATCCAGGGAACCGCTCGTCCTGTTCACTACCACATGCTGATGGATGAGGCCAACCTTCCTGTTGAGAAGTTCCAAACTCTTCTCTATGAGCACTGCTACCAATTCCAGCGTGCTACAACTCCGGTCTCGTTGTGTAAGTCTTAATACCTTCTTGTTCATACATCCAAGCTGACCATTTTATAGTTCCTGCAGTCTACTACGCCCACTTGGCTTCAAATCGTGCCACTTCTCACATTGATCTAGCCAAGAGCGAAATCTCGAGGATCAACCGCGAGAAGCGAGCAGGCAAGGGTATAATCAAGGTCTCCGACGGGTCTGATAGCGAATGGGCCAAGCTCCTTCCCATGGAGCCTACAAACGGCATCGGGTTGGGTATGTGGTACATCTGAGCAGGATAGGTACATTGGCTCGAACATTCACGCTTCGACTTGATACGAATTTCCTTTCTCTTAGCGACTCATATTGATTAGGCGTGCTCATTCATCACATACACCAAAGTCCTCACCTTGATGCATTACATTTGCCTCATTCCAGAGCAGATTATCGGATCATCACTCATGCTTCTCTTGGTTCGATCATCTTCGGATCTCGGTCCTGCGCCAGAGAAAAACTACGGCTGAGGCAGCGACATTTGCAACTGAAGCTTAGCACTCATCATCACGACCACCATGCTTGCTTGTTCATAGAAGAGATATCAGATAGAAATGCTCACAAGAAATCAAACATTCCACGTGTCAGGCCGTGGTACCTTTCGCCTGCTTGTGACAGTCGAACTCTGTGACCTGTTTAATGCTAACCCTCTAGGATCTCGACAAGTGGTGCGAAAAGGCCAGAAAGTGCAAGATAACCTCAAGCTTACTTCTCATATGTGTCTTCCACAGAAGGCAGACGCGGGAAAGATGCTACGACGATTAGTAAGGATAGCAAGGAAATGGCTTGATCAGCTACAGCGAACATTTTGTGAGACCCACGCAGCATATCCGGCTGTGCTTCCCTTCCTCACATCCAAATCAACCACCACACAAACTTCTCCTTAGCTGCCCCGGTCTCGAAGGGAGAGGGCATGAGAGTGGGAGAATCGTCGTCGGCTGGGTGGTTTTTCGAGGCATTTGGGGGGGAGGGGGGTTGATCGGGTTATAGGTGGGTACTAGTACTCTTACTCCCCACACACGACCCTTTTTCTCCTTTCCATACCCGCATCTACAACGCTTTTTTCGGGATCCGGCTCCCTGGTTTTGGGGGTCGGGAGGGCGGAGGTACGGATGGGTGAGGACGGCCCCTGGTCTGGTCTGGTCTGGTCTGGTTTGGTCTGGACGGAGGGAGAGAGGACTGACTGAGTGGGCGCTCTTGTTGTGGCGTGTTGGGTTGGGTTGGGAGGAGGGCGCGATGCGGTGGGGCGGAAATGGGGTGGTTGATGTTGTGGTTGATGGTGTGGAGGTGGAGGTAGAGGGTGCTTTGGTGGAAGGTGGACGGAGGGGCTGCGGGGGTGTGGTTAGGGAAGGGATGGAGGGAGGGAGGGAGGGAGGGAGGGACTGGGGTTGGAGATCTAGGGGGGCAGGGTGATGGGTGTGAGTTATGGAGATGGTTTAAGGGTTCAAGCATCGTTATTTTCAGAGCGCTGGCTTCCTTGTCCACGGCGCTGGGAGAGAGAGAAGGGGAAAGGCGTTGGTTTTGTCTAGCCTAGATGAAGAGATCTAGGTCTAATATCATCGGAAAATGGCCACTATGTATAACCACTTACCGTACTCCAAATGTTTAGGCCACCCAGCGGAAGACCTACTCCGGACGACCATGTCAATGCAAGCTGAAAAAGATTTCAGTTCCTCAACCCCTCCACCCAACTCCTCCATCCCCTCCACTCCGCCCACCCCAGACTCGCCTTCTTCCCCTCATACGTCACAACCCCTAACCCTTTGACATCCCTCCACTCACCACTCCTCCCCTTCCAACCCGCCTTCCGCATCAAACTCACGATCGTCTCTTCCTTGCTCCATCCCTGCTCGACGGCCACGTCGGGCAGATAAGTTGCGCTGTAGCGTTTGCCGTGGTGGGAGAAGGAAATGCGGATACCGTGGGTGCCGAGGGTCCAGTCGAGGGGGTGCGAGGCTGGGGTGAAGTTTGTGAGGAGGGTAATGGAGGTGGAGAGGGTGGGAAGTTCGGGAAGAGAGATGGCGGGGAAGCGGTGGTCGTCGAATGCACTATATGTACATACGAACAGTCAGCTAGGGTGCAGATACTGCCATCTTTTTGTAGGTTGGGTAGTAGGTGAATGGAACTTACGCGGTCAAAGCGTACCCCCTCAACCCAGCCTCCAGCTCCTGCGCTTCAAACGTGCCAATGCATCCCCGGAGGCTTTTGTTCCCACTCCGTGGTGATATCGTGTTCCATGTCACAAACAAGGGGTGCTCTTCTTCTTTAAGCGGCGGGGCAGGTGATGGTTGCTGTGAGCGCCGACTGCCGAAGCTGAAGAAAGAGGTCTTGGAAGAGGATTTCGAGGTGGTGTCTAAAGCTGCATTGGAGGAAGTTGTGGAGAGGGAGGACGGGGTGGAAGAAGCGGAGGAGGCCGAGGCGGGGGAGGAGGCTTGCAGGCGGGATATGCTGGGGAGGGACAGTTTCGAGGATGCATGTTGGGCAAGTTCTTCTGGGGGCGCGTCGTCTTCTCCGTCCTCGTCCTCGTCTGCCTCTTCTAACCCGTCCATCTCGCTATCCTCTTCCAAGTCGTCTCGGCCCTGTAGATCAGGGTCGTGCTCATCCTCATCGTCTTCTTCAGTTTCGGTAGGCTTGGATTTGGTGAGCGCTTCGTATTGAGTCCACAGATCGAGGACCTGCCGGTATTCGAGCGGCTCCCGATCTTCGAGGTCGGCAATTAGGATCTCAAAGCAGTAGGTGCAGTGGGCCGGAGTCGCCATCTTATATAAGTTGACTGGAAAGGTGACAATGGATGTGGATTGTGCAATATGTACTTCTAGGAAGAGGTAGATAGAAAAGTATGTCAAGTCCTCAGGTCATATTGGTTCTATGCATGGCAAGATTGGCCTAAGAAAGGCTGGAAGAGGCAGTGGAGGTGAGGAAGAGGGAAGATAATGCAAGGGCGGAGAGAGACACGCCGGTAGTATGATGCCTGAACGATGACTACTCGGGCTGCTCCTCTCAGCCTTGGCATTTAGGGCATAGGGCTTAGGAGGTATCTCCGGGTTTGAAGATAAGGTACAGCATCTTGAATCTAGCCACTAAACCTACGAGAAGTAGATAATTCGGTTGTAAATTCATACTACTAGGATAGAAAATCAACATCTCCAGAAGGCTAACGTCTTTGTTGCATTTCGAACGCCGGCCCGTCATAACGCTGATCTATACAATGTGTGCTCCTGTTCGTCCCAAGCTTGCTTGATAAGAGTACGAGGGTAAAGATGCCCGTGTCGACCCTTCCAGGAACCCTTTTGCCTTTCAACTATGGGGATTTCCATCTCAGCCCCTCGCCTGTCCCCATAATCCTCGACTCGTCTCCTCAACCCGTCTCTGCTGTTCCCGAATCTGCTCCTCCGTTTGGCCTCTCGCATTTCCCCGACTGTCAATCTCCATCTGACTACCCCCCTGCCCCGTAAACTTCGCCTCATTCCACTTCGCCTCATTCCCATTATCCTGCTGCTTGACCTTCGGCTGTTGGCTCAGAGCCCCCTCCATCAATCCCGCCGCACCTCCTTCCCTCAGCTTGTTAATAGCCCGTATTGTATCAATGGCCGCGTGCAAAGTCCTTCGCGCATTGAAATTCTTTTTAATCACAGGTAACAAATCGCCTCCACCTCTCGCACCTTCACCTCGTTGTTGTCTCGCCATTTCGTCAACAAAAGGGTGTGAGAGCGCTTCGTGTGCTGTCATGCGTTGTTGGGGGTCGATGGTCAGACAGCGTTTGACGAACTCGCGTGCGGAGAGGGAGACGGAACGCCAATATTCGAGGGGGGTGAAGGAGTAGTCGGCAACTAAGATGGCTTGCATTTCTTCGAGATTGGAGTCCCGGTCGAAAGGGGTGTAGCCGCAGAGGAGGAAGTAGGTTATTACGCCTATTGCCCAGACGTCTCTAAAGCTGGCATTAGAAATGGGCATGGTGAGGGTTTGAAGGGCAACAAACACTGGTTTGCCGTGACCGGTCTTCTTGAAAATTTCAGGGGCCATGTAGCCCGGTGTACCGCAAGTCGTCGTGAGAACGTGAAACGCCTCTTCGTCCATTATTCTTGAAAGACCAAAATCTGCTATTAGCAAATCTGCGTTGTCTTCTGGTGTTCGAAATAAAAGGTTCTCGGGTTTCAGATCGCGGTGTACAATCCCATGGTCATGAAGATAGGCGACTGCGGAAAGAGTTGCACGGATTAGGTCTGCAGCGTCGGATTCGTAGTAGCTTCCTTTGCGACATATTCGATCGAACAATTCGCCGCCGAGGGCGAGGTCGGTTACTAGGTACACTGTGGGATCGTAAGTAAAAATATTGGAGCCAATTGACCGGAAGCACCCCCGAGAGACAAACAATTGTTCATGGTCTCGAAGTAGTCCACTAGCGTCAAAATATTTTGATGGCCCATCGACACCCTCTTCAAAACTGCGATCTCGTTCCGTACCTATCACAGCTGTCGTCAGCCCTGATTGTCCCTAAGCCCACGTTTCAACAATTCGGCCCGTACCATATGCTCCCTGCCCGCCATCATCCTCTTGTTGATAACTTTCGCCGCATAGTATCTTCCGGTGTCTATATGCACACACTCCTTTACCACCGAGTAGCTCCCTGCGCCCAGTGTTTTCCCAGTCTTGTACCTGCATGGCTGGATCTGGGGCTTTGCCTGCCCCTCTTGAGCAGCCATGGTAGAGGGAGGTGGGGGACTCGAGAGAGATACTTGGATTCGATAAGGGCGATTGGATCCGCTGTATGGGAAGAACCTCCGGGGCCGGCGTGAGAGGATGGTTCAGTGATAGAATAAACTTGGTGTATCTCTGATCGTTGCGCGCTTAGGTGGAAAAGGGTGGGGATCTTAGGAAGGGCAGCGGAACGGTAAGTCTGGGGTGAGAGTTGGGTTTCGAGGGGTTGGCATTCGTGTTGGACTGAAGTTGTCTGTTGTGCGAGTAGTAAGAAGTGTAAAGCTCTGACAAGCAATGAATATTGGAATTGGAGCGCCCCGTTGAAAGGTAATATATTGTGGGATAAGCGGAGGCTGAAGCACGCCGCATGGGAGTGGGGTCCTCAGCGGGAGCGGAGATGCAACCGTTAAAGGGCCCCACGCAGTAGAATATACTCAACAGTAATGTGAATTGCGGTCAAATTCAATGCCAATCTAGAGGAGTAATCAATCAGGCATCGAATCAAGTGGTGCTCTCATTAAATGGCTACTGATGTTGGGGG